CATTAGTAACAACAAAATAAGATAACATAATATATTTTCGTAAATCAAAGAAAAGGGTAAATGGGCGAGACAGTCAGTATTCGTAATTGGCCCATTGGTGACTTAGTACAAGTGTAGTCATCTATGTGTAAAAACAATCAAACAAGTAACTCACAGTGGGCATGACACATACATACACATCATGCCTGTTGGCACTGGGTTAAGCTCTTGGTCATAATGTTGATTCCATATATTTAGACCATTAACATTCAGACACTGAACTACACACTAGGCAAGGATAACCTATGCAGTGATGTTCATTCATCCCTAATTCAAATGCTAATGGTCCCAACCACAGCAACAAGTACTATTCTCCTGTTAGTCCAAGTCTCATAACCAAAAGAACAAGAGATCCTACAGTGTGAACAAATGCCAATCTGTAGCATCTCAGCTATTACATGGGTGCTGCCAAGTGTACAATTGCTAGTTCACAGATATTTGCCTAAAAATCAGGGAGGTCATATCTATGGTGAAGTTAATCTTGGGAAGATTGGTGTTGGACTTGGCGACTGGGAGGAATAATGTAGCATGTACTGCTACTACATCATATTCAATGAGACATGCAAGTAAGTTGTTTTTACAGTCTAACCAGTCCTTGTCGTAGACAGGACAATCAATGGGAGAGATGAAAACAGTGCCGGTACAAATATTAACCCAATTGGTACAGATGGCAAGAATACATGCCATGGTCACTGTAATATAAGTTTATTTATTGTATTTACACATAGATGGCTCAACAGGTGCTTAATCACCAAGGAATCAGTTATTATTCTTACCTGTCTCACCTGTTTACCCTTTTCCTTGAATTTTGGAAAGGGTCTTTTGTATTATTTCATTGTTTTAAATGTTACCAAGATTTAAATAACAATTTAATATTCATAACATCATTAACAACAATAACAGTATTGAAGTCAATTGTATTAAAAAGAAAAATATATTTTCCCAACAATTCAAGAAATAGGGAAATCAGGATCGGTCACTACGGCCTACTGGTAGACTCCTTGCCGACTGATCACATGTTACCCCATTGCCGCCGGGAATGGCATGTACGTATATGCCATGCCTACTGTGAGTCGACTTGTTTGATTGTTTTTACACATAGATGGCTACATTTGTTCTAAGTCACCAGTGAGCCAATTACGAGTACTGCCTGTCTTGCCCATTCACCCTTTTCATCAATTTACGAAAATAATTTAATAAAAAATTAGTATATCATTTTCCCCATTTTTTATTCATTTTCCCCGGCGGCAATGGGTTAAGCCATCTGTATGTAACAAAATTCACAAAAAATACAGGGGACAGAACGTAAATCCGTAGTGGTTGTATTAAGGGAGGAGTGAGGATGGGGTAGGAATATGCTAGCCAGTGAGGTCAATCTGGTGGATAGTACATGAGTTTAGGACTCAGATGTAACTGTGACAAGGCATGAATGATCAGAACAACTGCAAAAGGAAACTTTGTCTTCCTGATTTTGGAGACATTTTTGGAAGAGAAGGGTATTGTAAGAGTCTGAGGCTGTAGGGGGAATCACAAAGAACTGATCCCACTCGGCAGGACCAAAAAGGGTCCTCAAAAGGTTTGAAGGGAAGGACAAGGGTAGAAGAAAGATGGGACAACAATAAGAATGAAGAGTAGTAACTTGGGGGTTGGGAGTAGACAATGACGAAGACTGTGCAGTAGAAGATGGAGTGGAGGATGTTGGGAGTGAGGAAGGAGTGTATTCTGAAGGTTGATTAATGACCTGGGTGGATGCTTCGGAATGGATAGATATGACCGCAAACATCGAAGAGAGGGTATTAGAGCTGAGGTAAAAGGAGAGGAAGGGTCAGGAAACCAATGAAATCAAATTTAGATACAGTAGCTGATAAAGGGGCAACACTTAATGCCCCTAATAAGGGTACGATATCTTAATTATTGGCTATGGTATACCTGAAATAAATGGGGAGAAGAAACCATCTACACCTCAGGGTCCCCATAAGGGGTAAGGGCTAGGCAATTAACTAAGGAAATACCATGCCCATGGCTCCCAGAGGCCATTTATAACTGACACAAAACAAGCCTTTCATCCTTTCAGCACAACTCTCACCCTTTACTAAGAGGACAGAAGGGGATGAGAAAGAGAAGGAAAAGGAATGTGGGAAAAGAAAAGACCATGCATAATTAGTTGAAGCGAGGGCTGACGTCCAAGATAGGGTTGATCCCCTACATTGGGCCCCAGTCTCCTAGGCCCCCCCACGACAACAATGAGCAAGGGATTAAATTAATGGCAAATTTGATGTTTGAAATACTGCAATCTGTGTAAAAAAAAAAATAATAATAATAATTTTACTTGATAACCTGTATTTTTTTAACAAACTATATTTTCATACAGAAAGTATATGTTACAATACAGTACTGTTATTTTTTCAATAAAGTAAGAATAGCATACATGTTGAAACATGCAGCAGTGAAAGTATAACTTTGCATAACACTGTGCACTGCATTACATTCAAATTTTGCTGTTTTGGACATAATTGAAGCTATGGAATGGAGGAAGCTTCAGGTTACTGCTAATGAGCAGCAAAGTAAGAAAACAAAGTGTAGACATTGTAAAGAAAATGTAATTTAAGAAGTAGAAACACTTACAAAACAAACAAAAAGATGTATTCTATTTGCCAAGAAATCTGTAACATGAAAAGATCAAGAAAAAAAAGAAGGAATACCTTCAGCTCATAGAATATCTAAGCACATCCTTAAGAATGCCTTTTCCACTGGGACCACCACTGAAAAGAAGCGCAAGGGATTCTGATGACTCATTTTCTTTTCATTTGTTACATGAAATTCAGAATATAAGAGAAAAGGAATAGAAATTACTAGAGAAACAGTCTGAAAGATCTTTTGCATAATTACATACATAATTACACTTACATAAAATGTACACCTGTTGAAACTCACCCTCAGTTAAGGGAAGGAGTCTAAAATCTTCCAAACAGGAGAAATATTACTGGTTATCTCTTAGGAGTAAACAAGGAGTGAATTTAATAACGGTTTCTGAATTGAAAGGATATAATGCAACATTGGGTGGGGAGGTCTTAAAAAAAAAAAAATTTATTTGGAGGAATAGAGGGAATATATATCTGAGGAGCAGAGGGAGAGGTGGGTATAGGAGAGGGTGTGGTAGGAGAAGATGGAGTGGAACATTTAAATTGTCTGGTGTAGAGATTGGAGTATCTGGATTTAAACTGGAAAAGGCATTGACTGGGAGAGAGAGGTAGTAGAGATAGGTTGGTTCAGGGTAGAGGGAAAAGATACTGTGGGAGATACTTTCTCCACTTTCTCTCCACAGTCTGCTATCCTTTATGTGCCCAACCTAGTCATGACTATTCAAATTGCTTTGTTCAGTCCCGTATGTGTGCCAATTGTGGTGCCTCCCATAATATATTTTATAGGAGCTGCCCTGGGTGCAAGCTTGAATCCGAGGTAGCATTTCTCAGATTCAAACTTGGTCACACTCTACATGAAGCCAGCGAAGAAGCATGCCTACGAGGTGTTTCTCTTTCTACCTATTCCAAAACTACTTTGCTCCATTACCCTCCCTTCTTCTCAAAAAGTCTCATCTCCCCCAATATCTCTTCCCTCTACCCTGAACCATCCATTCTCTACACCTTCCAACATCAACATTTCTGACATTGTTGGACACTCCATGCTATAATATAAACTTCACAGGGGAGGTCATGTCTACAGAAGTTAATCTTGGCAATATTGGTTTGTGCATTACATTAGCTACTGGCTCTGCATAATAGTTGACTAGGCATGCAAGCAACTTGTTTTCAGTCACCAGTCCTTGCCATAGACAGGACAATCAGTCAAAGAGGCAGAAACAGTTCCAGTACAAGTACAAAGGGTGGAGTGAGGTTGAGCAGAAATTGGTTTGCCAATGATCAGGAAGATAACTACACATTAGGTGAAGGTATCCATGCATGGCTGAAGTCAAGATAAGTTAATTTTCTACAGAAATTTTAGAGATTAAAGATTTCAACTGTATATTCACCAGCTCCTTTTTTAACATATCAAGTTATTAAAAGCATAAACCTGTCCAGCAATCACAAAGAAACTGCCAAAAGTTTTCCAAGAAAAATGAAAACTTTTATGAACTCTGCTTACTGTCTCAATTGCGGGATAAACTGTACTCAAAATCATTTATGTCACCCATATTTACAGAAACATTTTTACTAGACAAATAGCGGAAACTGATGAAGGCTAAACAGAAAAGTTTCCTGGTCTTCTTCCATTTGCATTTTGTTTCTTTGTGATACAAGTTAAGTAACAAACTCAATTTCAGCTGAAATATGCTTTTTTTTACCTTTAATCAAATTTGTAAAAAGATACAAAGTAGAGTTGGAAAGGAAAAAACAAGAAAGTAAAGAGATGTAACTGGATCAGGTTACTGATGGGGAAAAGAGTAGATTGGTATGGTGAAACAGTTTTCATTTTTAGAGGAGTATATTATTAGTTTTTTTTTCTATTACTTTAATATTAATTATATTACTAGTTTTCTGCTTCAATAATTCATATTACATAAATGATTTTGTACAGTAACACTTTTAACAAATCTAACAACAGCTTCAATAATGTATGATGATTTAGCTGATCTTGGTAATACTGAAGTGCTTTAACAAAATAAAAGGTTTTTAACATAAAAATGTTTCATTAATAATGCCATACCTGTGAAATAACTCTTGGAAGAACACCTCAACAGCTATATGTTGATTTTGTACTATCAAGTGTTTCTTATGCCTAAATTTGCATTATAGCATAATAAGAGTGAAAGTGATTTTATTTTCTGAAACACATGGTATTCATTTTCAAAAACACATATTTGAATCCAGGTGGGTCAATGGGCTGCTATGTGGGGAGCTAGCCACACTAACCCTGACTATACATTACCATTTCTCTTCAAATTAAATAGGAATTTATACACA